TACAAGACAGATGTTAAAGAGAAAAATGAGTGCAAAAGCATCAAGCTCGGCTCCTGCTATTGTTGAAGACATAGAGAATGAAACATATCTTGATGAAGAGGAAGGAATCGAAGAACAAGAGGAAAGAAGACGAATTCAATGAAGATGATTTGTGTGAAAATGACGATAATATTGATTATGATAAATGACTTTGATGTAAAATTTTAATGTTTTGAATTTTGAAACTTTTTGTTAATGTGACATTGTGATTTTGTATCTTAGATTTTCTTAATTTAATAGCATATTTTTATTTAAAATTTTAAATAATTATATTTATTAATTATATTATATATTTTTATATTTTAGCGCATCGCTTCGTTCGGGCGAGCGCCTGGTCGAGCGCCTAGCGCCTCGGGCGTTTTTGGACCTTGGCGCCTTTTGGCGCCTAGCGCTTTTTAAATCACTGGGTACCACCACCCAGAATTCCTAAGAGACCGAGTCTCCCAGGCGATGCCACCGTCGGCCCTAGTGGTGCCACCACCGGCCAGGAATTCAGGGTCCTGGTTGGGCCTTGAATCCGGCGCAAACCAACCCAACTTAGTTAGTGGGATTACCTCCTAAATCTAACTTAATTTACGCTCTAACTACGATAATTAAGACATGATTACTGCACTTCATGTTCCAGTGCGTCAATTGCTCTTTCGGCGAGCTTTCGACGTACTTCCGGTGAACATCCGACGAACTCTTGGCAATGCTCCGGCGGACTCCCGGCCAGCTCCCGGACTTTACGACGATCTTCTTGGCAAGTTCCGACGAGCTTCTTTAGCAAGCTCCTGGATTTCTCGGTTGGTTCCCGCAGAACTTCCGACGAACGTCTGGACTTCCGTCGAACTCTCGAACTCCCAACGTGATCTCGATCTTTACTCCGGCACAGCACCTGCTTTATGTCTTATTGTCATCGTAGTTAATCCTGCAATTACAACTGACTTCATCACCAAAATCCGAGATTCAACAATCTCCCCCTTTTTGATGATGACAATCAATTGATGACGGAGCTAACCTTAACTCCCCTATCTATATGTCATACTTGAGAAAAGACATTCTTAATTTAAGGCCTTTGAATTCAAGAATCAAACTAATAAGTTAAATTCATTAAACTTATCAATATGCACATCATGATTCCTATCATGATCTAACATTCTCAAAATAATGTCAAGGCATGACATCCATTTTCAAGTATTGATATTTCAAATATGAAGGATGACAAAGATAGCAATTCATCATTCTATGGCAAGATATCAATTTATAAAATTGCAAGTTAAGCTCTAGATATCTTATCATAGTGAAGAAAATTTATCAAGCAAGCATTTCAAGTATATATAATGAAATACATTTGTCATCAATTTACCACATTTTGGTATTATTTCTCCCCTTTTGTCATCAACAAAAAGGAGAACGATTCAACAATTCAAGTGTGGTAAAAATTCATGTCATATTTCAACTTGTAAAAATTCTTACCAATCGTATTTTAAGCATTCATGACATGATATTATTCAAAAGTTCTCATATTAAAAGTTATAAATATTTAAAGAGATGGCTTCCATCAACTTCTCCCTTTTTATTTTTTCATCAAAACTTTGCATGAAGAAGGAGAGTAAGGAGGAAAATCCATTGAGAACCAACTTTGAATGAAGTTAAAAACGATAAACGAGTTTCATTAAATCATGCTTCAATTTTCACAAGGATCAAGATATTCATATGAAATCAAATCCTCATTCTTGCAAGTGTTCATCTAAAAAAAATCATAAAAATTCTTCCTTCATTAAGCAAGAATTCATGTGAAAGAATTATCATATGAAGGATAAAAGAAATTCTGAGAATTAATCTTCATAATGAGAGGATCATCACATTAAATCCATTTCTCAATAAAAATTCACAAGAGATAAATCCATGAGAGATGCATTTGTCAATGACTTCGATGTATCAAAAATAAACTTGATATGACATAGACTCATGAAAGCTCTATTCAAGAAATACATTAAGTGAAAGATAGTCCGGAAAGAAAATATACATCAAATTCATAACTTTGCATCACTACTTGCATGAGGCAAAATCATTAGTGCTTTGTAGTACTCGAAAATTAAGAATCCGATGTATGATTAAAACTTCTTAATATTCAATCATAATCATGAAAGTAAACATGATATTGAGGCACACAATCTTTTCATCATGTAAAATTCGTAATACAGAATTTAAGTGATTGATCAAAGAATCAAGAAAGTCCGAAAACGAAATTTAACAAATTCATGCATTCGGACATATTAACATTCATAACTCTCTTCTAATAAAATTAAATTATTCTTCACTTAAAGGCTTTGTAAAAATATCGGCTAATTGATGTTTTATATCAATAAATTCTAGGATTACATCATGATTAGTGACATGATCTCGTATAAAGTGATGCCTAATGTCAATATGTTTTGTTCTAGAGTGTTGAATGAGATTCTTGGTTAAATATATTACACTAGTGTTATCACATTTTATGGGGATATTTTTAAAATGAATCTTATAATCCTCTAAAGTGTTTTTTATCCACACAACTTGTGCACAACATGCACTAGCTGCAATGTACTTAGCTTCGGTTGTAGATAGTGCAACCGAGTTTTGTTTCTTGGATGACCAAGAAACAAGTGCGTGTCCTAAAAACTGACATATTCTGGATGTGCTTTTTCTATCTAATCTACATCCAGCAAAATCCACATCAACATATGCAATTAGTTCAAAGTTCTCGGATTTTGGATACCATAATCCTAGATTAGTGGTACCTTTTAGATATCTAAGTATTCTTTTAACTGCTTTGAGATGAGATATCTTAGGATTAGATTGAAACCTAGCACAAAGTTCTACACTAAACATGATATCCGGTCTAGTTACAGTGAGGTAAAGTAAACTTTCTATCATACCCCTATAAGCTTTTTGATTAAAGCTTTCTCCACTTTCATCAATTTCTAACTTAGTGGAAGTACATATAGGAGTGTTAATAGCTTTTGAGCTATCCATATTGAACCTTTTTAGCAAATCTAAAGTGTATTTTGTTTGACTAAGAAAGATGTCATTACTTAGTTGTTTGATTTGTAAGCCTAAAAAGAAGGTTAATTCTCCCATCAAACTCATTTCAAATTCAAGACTCATACTTTTAGCAAATGATTCACAAAGAGATTCATTCGTGGAACCGAAAATAATATCATCAACATAAATTTGAACAGTAAGAAAATTATTTTCAAAATTTTTGATAAACAATGTAGTATCGACCTTGCCTTTAGAGAAATTATTTTCAATAAAAAATGAACTAAGTCTCTCATACCAAGC